CCCTAATAGCTACTTACCTAATCCTGTAGCACTGTAGATGTGGTATTTTAGTGTCCAGTGGACAACCCGCTTGTCCCTAATAGCTACTTACCTAATCCTGTAGCACTGTAGATGTGGTATTTTAGTGTCCAGTGGACAACCCGCTTGTCCCTAATAGCTACTTACCTAATCCTGTAGCACTGTAGATGTGGTATTTTAGTGTCCAGTGGACAACCCGCTTGTCCCTAGTAACTACTTACCTAATCCTGTAGATTCCATTCTAGATGCTGTGTTCACGGTATCACCAAACAAACAGTAACGTGGCATCTTTAAACCTACTACACCAGCACAAACCGGGCCTGAGGAAAGTAAACATATATCTTTATACATGCAATTCTAGACATCAGAATGTAATAAAAAATGCAATTTCAAATATAATTATTGGTTTATTATATTTATGTAATTAAGAGTTGGCCAATGATAGACAGTAGTCGTTAATACACTTAAGACGTTTGATATTTTTATTTTATAAGGCGGTCAATTCTTCACAATTTTATTTTAAAATTCTTGGAACTTCTCATATTTTGACTTTATACCCTTTAGACTAAAATAAAGGCAACTTTAAACTGCATATTTTCCATTCTTGGTTTAGAATACGATCTTCAAGCTTGTCGCCCCTCAGTGGCACAGCGGTATATCTGCGGAACGTTAGAATCCGGGTTTCGATACCTGTGGTGGGCAGAGCACAGATAGCCCATTGTGTAGCTTTGTGCTTAATTACAAACAAATAATTCAAGCTTGTCAATATAAATGCACAAAAATACACAAATGCTATTTTATAATTAAAGTATTCAATTCTAAAATATAGTTAAACAGATGGGAACGAAAAGCAGATTTTTTTTTGTTTTTAATTATATTTTGAACGTTAGCACATAGATTAATATAGTTATCTAAAAGGTTTTTATAAACAGAAAGCAAATGAAATATCTGCCTTGGCAGTTTATTTATAACTTAAAAAACAACAACAAATAAACATGGCTACAATATTCAATTACGTATACAAACTGCATGCAAAGATGGCAACATGAATATTTCTTTTTTTGTGTTAAAATTCGTTTGCTTTACCTTTTAAAACAGATAATGGCTGGTTAGAGTGGTATATGAAGCGACAAATATTAGACAGATATCTGGAGAACAGTTCAATATTAGTGACTAATTGAATCAGGACTGGAAATCAAAGTTACCGGTAATACAAAGAACACGAACCAAGACACATTAATAATATGGAGGAGATTGTTTTTGTTTTTAATTATGAAATCGTAAAACAGAAGCTTCGTGTAAGGGTACAAGTTTGTATAAAAGGAACGAAAGTAAAGAACTGATTCACTGTTGTACTGTGCACTTCAACAACATCTGTTGTACTGTACACTTCAACAACATCTGTTGTACTGTTCACTTCAACAACATCTGTTGTACTGTGCACTTCACCAACATCTGTTGTACTGTGCACTTCAACAGCATCTGTTGTACTGTGCACTTCAACAACCTTTTTTGTACTGTGGACTTCAACAACATCTGTTGTACTGTTCACTTCAACAACATCTGTTGTACTGTGCACTTCAACAACATCTGTTGTACTGTGCACTTCAACAACATCTGTTGTACTGTGCACTTCAACAACATCTATTGTACTGTGCACTTCAACAGCATCTGTTGTACTGTGCACTTCAACAACATCTGTTGTACTGTGCACTTAAACAACATCTGCTGTACTGTGCACTTCAACAACATCTGTTGTACTGCTCACTTCAACAACATCTGTTGTACTGTGCACTTCAACAACATCTGTTGTACTGTGGACTTCAACAACATTTCATTTTATCGTTGTAAGTCTGTTGACTTATCGTTATACCATCGTGAGATCCCTTTGAAACAGATTCTCTAAAATGAGGGATAAATAGTTATGGATGATATGTCTAGTCAACAAAGTTCTTGTTAAACGTACAGAAGAGGGATGGATAGTTATGGATAACACGTCTAGTTAATAAGGTTCTTGTTAAACGTACAGAAGAGTGATAGATAGCTATGGATGATATGTCTAGTCAATAAGGTTCTTGTTAAACGTACAGAAGAGGGATAGATAGTTATGGATAACACGTCTAGTTAATAAGGTTCTTGTTAAAGGTACAGAAGAGGGATGGATAGTTATGGATAATATGTCTAGTCAATAAGGTTTTTGTTAAACGTACAGAAGATGGATGGATAGTTATGGATGATATGTCTAGTCAATAAGGTTTTTGTTAAACGTACAGAAGATGGATGGATAGTTATGGATGATATGTCTAGTCAATAAGGTTTTTGTTAAACGTACAGAAGATGGATAGATAGTTATGGATGATATGTCTAGTCAATAAGGTTCTTGTTAAACGTACAGAAGAGTGATAGATAGTTATGGATGATATGTCTAGTCAATAAGGTTCTTGTTAACGTACAGAAGAGGGATAGATATTTATGGATGATATGTCTAGTCAATAAGGTTATTGTTAAACGTACAGAAGAGGGATAGATATTTATGGATGATATGTCTAGTCAATAAGGTTCTTGTTAAGCGTACAGAAGAGTGATAGATATTTATGGGTAATATGTTTGTTCAAATAGAAATGTGTATATTCTTTGCACCTTCTTGAAAGTTTAAACACAGTATTTCTATCAAAGTACAGTTTTAATCATTGGTTAGATGTCATTCAACTAAAACTAGATTGAATTAGAATACATGAGGTTCAGAAATGTTCACTGATGTCAGAATACAAAGGTAAAATATAAGATAACATCAGGGACAGAATAAATATAGATAAATAAAACCACTTGCTGAGAATGCATAAAACAAATGGCATAGTTTAGTGACACCTTGAACACAACTAGTGAAATGAAATGAAAAAACGTCACTAAATGATTTCAATCAAAGAAAGCATTAAGGATAATGAAAATATGTTAGTGATATGCTAACAGTGAAATATAAACATTATAATGTTAGAAGAGAAAAAAATTAGAGAAATATCGCAGGAAACTAAAAGCATGAAAAGCTAGACGACACAATGACCCAACGAAGAGATAAGTGTAGCACCACTACCACATAACTTATAGATAAAGTAGTACCAATACCACATAACTTATAGATAAGAGTAGCACCACTACCACATAACTTATAGATAAGTGTAGCACCACTACCACATAACTTATAGATAAGTGTAGCACCACTACCATATAACTTATAGATAAGTGTAGCACCACTACCACATAACTTATAGATAAGTGTAGCACCAATACCACATAACTTATAGATAAGTGTAGCCCCACTACCACATAACTTATAGATAAAGTAGTACCAATACCACATAACTTATAGATAAGAGTAGCACCACTACCACATAACTTATAGATAAGTGTAGCACCACTACCACATAACTTATAGATAAAGTAGTACCAATACCACATAACTTATAGATAAGTGTAGCACCACTACCACATAACTTATAGATAAAGTAGTACCAATACTACATAAGTTATAGATAAAGTAGCACCACTACCACATAACTTATAGATAAAGTAGCACCACTACCACATAACTTATAGATAAAAGTAGCACCACTATCACATAACGTATAGATAAAGTAGCACCACTATCACATAACGTATAGATAAAGTAGCACCACTATCACATAACGTATAGATAAAGTAGCACCACTACCACATAACTTATAGATAAGAGTGACACTACTACCCCATAACTTATAGATAAAAGTAGCACCACTATCACATAACTTATAGATAAAAGTAGCACCATTATCACATAACTTATAGATAAAAGTAGCACCACTACCCCATAACTTATAGAAAACTGCCATTTCAGTTGTGGGGTCATTAGAAAAGTGATAACCAATTTCTTTATTCGTCTTAAACCCTCCAGTGGCACAGCGTTATGTTTGCGGACGTACAACGCTAGAAACCGAGTTTCGATACCCATGGTGAGCATAACAATAGCCCATTGTGTAGCTTTGTGCTTAACTTTATACAAACAAACAAGCAAATATTAGTTTTAAAGAATCCAAGATAACCCTTGTGGCGGCAGGTGCTACTGGGTGGCTGCCGACCCTCTGGACAATAGTTCAAAATTAAGGACTGCTCTACCAGAATCTTAGGGGTCTTTGGTTTGGCCATTAATGCTTCGTGCAGATAATTTGCGGTTCAAATTTAAAATTCTAAAAACTTCCTAAATTTTTAATGAAAAATGTTTTTTGGTATCTATATGTATGTAATAAAATTAATTTTAGTTGCTGTTGCTTGCCTTAGAGCCAAGCCACATTGGGCTATCTGTTGTGTCCACCGTAGGAAATTGAAATCGGGATTTCAGCATAGTGAACCAGTAAACTCACCGCTGTCTCACCTGGGGATGACATTTTTGGTAAATTAAGTAATCGACACTTTTCTCATGGTCTTACGCTACGAATATATATATATATTTTGAAGACAACATACCAGAATGGATTCCTATTCTCAGGTTTAAAGTATCATTTGGTCGTTTTTAAAAGACAACATACCAGAATGGATTCCTATTCTCAGGTTTAAAGTATCATTTGGTCGTTTTTAAAAGACAACATACCAGAATGGATTCCTATTCTCAGCTTTAGAGTATCATTTGGTCGTTTTTAAAAGACAACATACTAGAATGGATTCCTATTCTCAGCTTTAGAATATCATTTGGTCGTTTTTAAAAGACAACATACAAGAATGGATTCCTATTCTCAGCTTTAGAGTATCATTTGGTCGATGTCTGATCGTAAATTTCGTTACAGCAAATTAAATACAGTAAATTAAATGTTTATTTGTTTTAAGTTTTGCAAAAAGCGACACAATGGGCTATCTGTGCTCTGCCCACCAGGGGTATAGAAACCCGGTTTCTAGCATTGTAAGTCCGCAGACATACCGCTGTGCCACTGGGGGGGGGCAATAAATTAAATACTCGACATTTTTCTCATGGTCTTACGCTACGAATATATATATTTTTAAGACAACATACCAGAATGGATTCCTATTCTCAGCTTTAGAATATCATTTGGTCGTTTTTAAAAGACAACATACCAGAATGGATTCCTATTCTCAGCTTTAGAGTATCATTTGGTCGTTTTTAAAAGACAACATACCAGAATGGATTCCTATTCTCAGCTTTAGAGTATCATTTGGTCGTTTTTAAAAGACAACATACCAGAATGGATTCCTATTCTCAGCTTTAGAGTATCATTTGGTCGTTTTTAAAAGACAACATACCAGAATGGATTCCTATTCTCAGCTTTAGAGTATCATTTGGTCGATGTCTGATCGTAAACTTCCTTACAGCATTTAGCAGCTGCAGCGCCATTGATGCAATTTCTCCAGCGTGTTGGTCACCATTTCGAATAGGCAGACCACTGACTACCATATAGGCATCACCGATTGTCTCCACTTTATACACGTCGTAGTTTTCAATGATAGAGTCGAAACACGTATAGAGATCATTTAAGAAATCCACCACCTAAACGATAAGACTGCGCTTCAATAAGGAGGATATAATACGTTAATACACACACATATAGACAGAG